AAAGCCAAATTAAAAAAAAACTCGCAAGTTCTGCGTTTCGCAAATTTTTAGGAAGACCAGCTGTAGCAAATTTTGGCCGAAAGACATGCGCTGGGAACAGAACAGACACCAGCTGGTCATCAACAACATTTAAAGGTAAAATTTCCGTTTTTATTGATGTTTTTAAATTTGTTATGCCCTTTTGTTATCTCCGGACAATCCGACTGAAGCAGCAAAAATTTTTCTCGCAATAACAACACAAATTACACAAGAAGACATAAATTTATTACTCACAAAAACAACTGCTGCCAGGTCTTCTCTCGTAATGACCGGCCAATGTTCGTAAATGAATGTAAGTTTAAAGAAGGATGACAGTCGTCTTCGCCAAAAACATGTTTTCTGGATTTCGCCAAGCAAAAAGTAAACATCTTTTCAGCAAATCCAAACCGTACTCCACGACTTCTTACGAACATGTTAGTATTTTAACTTTAGGTGAACTTTAAGACTCTTTCACCTTTGTTTCTGCTTAGTTTACGTTGATGGTTAACGAAGAAGCAAATTTTCTTTCTCACTTTTACAGAAAGAATATTTTCATTCAAACTAGACGATTGTGGCGTGTTCGTAATAGAACCGTTTGTTATTGTGTCGCGCGTTGCGAGAATTTTGCAGTTAATCAAAAAGCAGGCATTTTTGTCGATTTTTGTCAGCTATGTTATAAAAGAATTTGCTCATGCTTTTAGCTGTGCGTATATCGAGTGATGGATGCACTTGGGAAGTTTGGAGAGCACTCACGAAGCTTTCGTGCTCTCCAAACTTCCCGCGTGCATCCATAACTCGATATACTTCGCTAAGCATGAACAAATTCTTAATTAAACCATTCTAGTACAACTCCTGTTATACCAATGTGTTCAAGTTTGTGTAAGAGGATACTGTGATTCACTCTGTCAGAGATCTAAAAATACACCCATAGTGTATTCCTTATCGTCAATTGCTTTCGATATCCTCTCTACCAGTTCCATTATAGCTAAATTTCTAGAAAGCTTTTTCCGAAAACCGAATTAACTTTCACTTAAAATGTTATGCTTGTCCAAAAATTTAATAACTCTCTTGTACATTAATTTCTCTAAATTTTTTGTAAAGCAAGGGAGAACTGACATAGGTCGGTAGTTTGAATACGATTCCTTGTCATTTGACTTAAAAATTGGTGTAACAACTGCCACTTTAAGTTCACTAGGGATGATGCCCGTGACAATCGACTGGTTATATATATGTGTCAAAGGTTCGATTATGTGTTTGGAAATTGCCTTTACAACTTTTAAAGAAATCTTGTCATAACTAGGCGATTTGTTGGCGTCTGAGTTATCTGTTTCTCTTGCTACTTCGTTTATCGTTATTGCATTGAGGAATATAGAATTTAGATAACTTTCGCCCAAGTATGAATCAAAGAAAAATTCGTGTCACACCTCCTGAATGCGAGTTGCAGTGATGTTATTACAGTCCCTCCTTTTTTCTCGCTAACTCCCAAACCGCCCCCGCGCCCCCTAAGTAGTTTTGACACTCATCCAAGATTGCTGCCTGTAACGCAAAGCGCTCGTTCTCGACGATCTTACGGGAAAATAGAGGGCTGTGAACAGTCTAGGGTGAGTGTGACGTAATTTAAAAATTTAATTTATGCGTCGCTACAAAACACCGGAAATGGGAAATGTCATCAAATACCAAACACATGTTGTGCTTTGCCTCGATCTTCGTCACTGATTTAAGACATTTCGATTGATCTTGCATTTAGCGAAGTGAGGGGTGAAATTCAAGATACGGTTGGTTTAATTACAAAAAATCCTCACCATTTACCAGCTTCTCTAAGGCTTTTCTTTGTAACTCAGGCTTTTAAGCCGCTCCGAAAACACGATCGCACGTCACATCAAACCACACCTTCGCACCTGACGTTTGAAATATGCTCTAAGAAAATTAATGCATGCTAACCGCTCAATTTGAACAGGCAACAATCTCATTGGTGGAAATCGACTATAGCAAACGCACGCGTTTATGTTCCCGGGGCGGACCAGAGAGGGCGGCGGAAATCGAGCCTAACTCTCTCCAACTTCCCTGCTGCTTTGCAATTCAAAATGGCGCACAGCCAACGAAAATGCCTGCAATGGAGGCTAAATTAGCTTCCGTCTAGTATGAGTCTTTTAGATGCACATGTGATCGTCTGCTTGATGAGGTGGGTATCAGAGTTACGATTGCTGCAATTGCTTATTATAGGTTTGTTTCCGAATGTTGTCTGTGTGCTCGAGTTTATCCTTTTCAAGGAAGGCACGAAGGTTTAGCAGGCGTCGGTATGCGTTAAAAGAATAAGGATTTTCAGAAAACCGTTGTTTGACTTAATTATGGGCAGGAGTTTCGTGATAATCGTGTTAAGGTTGAGAGAAGCTGGACTGAAGGAAACTAAGGATGGGATACGTTTCTGTTTTGAGCGGGCTTGGTTGTAGGGCTCGTGAACACGCTCTACTTTAGTGATTTT